AAGCCAGGAGGCAAGAATCATTGAGGGCATCTTGGAGACTGGCTATTACAAACACTGACTCCCAAGTTCCATACTTAGCGGTCTGTAAACCACATTTTGAGTAGCGAATTCCTACAGGTAATCTACAATAAGTTCCTCATTGTGCAAATAAGGAAACTGAGGTCTGCCTAGAGACACACCCCTAATTAGAGACACAATCAGGTTTCCAATTTCCATTTCCGTGTTCTTTCTATCACATTACAATGCCAATCTTAGCTATTTTACCTACTATATATCTAAGGGGGGATTTGCATCGAGCTGCCCATTAAGTAATGAGAATGAATGGGGTCAGGTGGAAAGGCTGTGACACACAGAAGCTGCTGCTGTGGGTTTTCTTAAGATTACCCCACAGCCATCTTCAAGGTGGTCATCAAATAGGATAATTCAGTGCGCCCAGTTCAAAAGCTTCACAATGTGACAATGGAAATTGACTTGATTTATCTTCAAAGATTCTATTAACTCAGAGAATCGATGATTTTCTGGGAGAATTAACACACAGCCACTGGTAGAGAATGGAGTGACTTCAGTGCTTTGAAACTTCTTTTAACGCAATTCTTAGATCAGCGTACAAAACATTATAGCTTAGATTCCTGGTCCTATGATACACACATTTCAGAGCCAGATGATTAAATCTTGATCCTAATTAGAAAGGAAATGCAGAATTTGTAGTAAACGCATTTTATTAGGTTGAGAAATAACCTGCTTCAGAAATTGGTACTGAGTGAATCCTCCTAAACACATCGTTCACTTCACGTGTGTGTGTTTGGGGGGAATTGCTTGCTTGAGACACATTTTTCATTTCTAAGGTCAAAAGTACATTAAAATTGTGACTACTGAATAGTAGTAGATCACCGACTCCTAAACCGTATTTTTCCCCTCTTACCTCTCCTATTCTTCTCCTAATTGAACCAAAAGCCCCAAACAAGAAGTCAAGATTCCTGTTTTTAAAAAACTTTTTATTTGTAAATAGTACTAAAATTATTAAAAAGTTGCAAGAATAAAAATAGTGCGCATGTATATCCTTTACCTAGATTCACGTGTTAACGTTTTTACTCAATTTGCTTTAGCATTTATTCTCTCTGCACACACACACACACACACATAAATTTTTTCTCAATCATTTGAGAATAAGTTACATACATCATGACCCTTTACTCCTAAATATTTCAGTGTTATTCCTAATAATAGGGATATTCTCTTACATAACCACAGTACAGTTATCAACCTCAGCAGATTTAACATTTGTGCAATACTCTGAACTAATCTACCCATTCATGTTCCGATTTTATCAATTGACCCAATGATGTCCTTTATAGCCTTTTTTTCCCCTCTGGTACTGGATCCAGTAAAGGGCCAGGTATTGGATTTAGTTGTCAGGTCTCCTTAGCTTTCTTTAACCTGGAACATTCCCACAGCCTTTCTTTGTCTTTTATGACATTGACATTTTGGAGGATAGAGTCCATGTCCCAACTTTTTTAAATACAATGTTCATCATTTTGAGTTTGCTTGATAATTTATCTCATAATTAGATTCGGGGTGTGCAGTCTCAGCCAGAATATAAAACAAGTGACTGTGTCCCTGACAGAGTGTCACGTCTGGGGCCACACAGTGTCTCTCTGCCCCCATGGGTCACCCAGTCGAGGTGTCATCATTTCTCCACTGTGTAATTGCTGGTCTCACCCTGCAACTGATGGGCAATATCTGGAAGCACTTGAAGACCATAGATCATCTCACTCGCTCTTTGTTGAAATTTAGCAACCATTGATGATTCTAGCTTGATTCTCTCCTCTCACTATGGTGGTTGCACAATGATGATTTTCTGGCTCCCACACTCTCTTCACATTTACCAGCTGGCACTCAAGTTTCTGTCAGCAAGAGCCCTGCCTTCTCCCGTGTTTACTGATTGTTGGTATGAGCGCATGAATTCTTATTTTTCCCCCAGTGGTTTATAACCCATTACTGTCCTTAATTATTTTGATAGTCAAATTGTCCAGATCTGGCCATTGATGACCCTTCAAGCTGGCTTCTTTGCCCCTGTGGCATGCCTGCGTCATTATGTTTTGAGCACTTCTTTGCTTGCTGGCATACGATGTTCCAGGGCCATCTTGTACCTCCCTTGCTCCCTCCCCCCATCCCCTTGGAGATTCCTGGGCTTTGATTTTGATTTGCCATTCAGTCTCAAAATTGCGGAAAACCTCATCTCCGTTATTTATTTACTCACAGGCCCCAGGTCCCTCTCCCGCCAAAGCCCACCACCACCACTGTGAAAGCTCTGGGCTCACCTGACTACGTGCTCTGCAAGGTCAAGGTCTCTGAGTCTTTGCTCTTGCCCCTGTCACCTCCTTCCCGGTCCAGGGTCATTTCAAATGTCATTTCCTCTTTACTGCAGACAGCCACCTGAGCTGACCTAATTGTTCCCTCATCTGTGTTTCCGTAGCACTTTTTACATATCTTTATTATGGTGCTAATCTTGTATTATGGTGCTTTGCTTACATTTCTGGCTAGACTGAACTCAAATATTTTCAAATAACCTGGGGAGAAAACTATTAGTTTTCCCAATTTTGCAGAAGAGCAACCTGAGGTTCAGGGAGGTGAGCCTAAGAGAGAGGCAGCAGAGGACAGCTGAAGGCCCTCGCTTACAGCCTGCTTCTGTCATGTTTTAGCTGGTAGACCTTAGGCAAGTTACTAAAGCTGTCTGTGCTTCAGTTTCCCAGGCAGTAAGATGCAGATGAGAGTAAACAGAAACTGGCACATAGGGCCGTTGCGAGGATTAAAGGAGTTACTATTTATAAAGCACCTAGAATGCGGCCTGGCACACAGTGAGTCTATGTGATGTTTGTTAAGTAAATAAAGCACATCACTGCAATTCAAATCCAAGTCTTCAGATGATAAAGTTCCTAGCCGCTGCTCTATTTTCACTTTGTAGGAGTCCATGTTTCCCTCAGAAGCAGTGGTTCTATTAGAGACAGCAGTAAAGGGAAGCTGGGCCAGGACATAAGACATTAGTGAGAGGAGACGAAGAAAAGGGTTCCAGCAAACTGCTGAATTAAGACATGGACCAGGGCCGGCCCCGTGGCTTAGCAGTTAAGTGCGCGCGCTCCACTGCTGGCGGCCCGGGTTCGGATCCCGGGCGCACACCGATGCACCGCTTCTCCGGCCATGCTGCGGCCGCGTCCCACATACAGCAACTAGAAGGATGTGCAACTATGACATACAACTATCTACTGGGGCTTTGGGGGGAAAAATAAATAAATAAAATTTAAAAAGACATGGACCAGGGAACGGAGCAGGGGGCCGGTCCTCCTGACTCTGGGTCTACAGCATGTGGGTTACACGCTCAGCCAAGGACCACCAGGCGAGACTCTGGGAACTGGTCTCTCGGGAAGTCTCTTCACACGTCCCTCCTCTCGGGTCAGTTGTGGGTTAGACGTTTGGGCCCCTGGGGTGACTTGTCACACAAGGACTCTGCCTGTGCATTCACAATTCTGCAAGACTTGCCATTGACAAATGGGACACGTTAATTATGGCTCCACTGAGGACAGCACAAGTGTTGGCTGAGCTCCGGAATTTTATGTGTGTGGTACTACCACAGGGATTAAGAATGAAGTTTATATTTCCAAAGCAAGAATCATTTTTATTTTTACCTAATACTGCTCATTGGATAGTTGCATAGCTAAAATCTATTATTATTGTTATTATAATTAATGTCGATATGGTTGAAAATGGTGGATTGAATTGAGACTGAGCTGGTAGATAATAACTGTTAGCTGAGTGACAAAACTATGTAAGAGTTTTCAGTTTAGGGACCGGGGTAGACAGTGTTTATCTACATGTGGAAAAGTTACTCAGTGATTAACGTTTGTGTCAAATATTAACTATTTATTAACTATTAGCCCATGATCTGCCTAACTGGGGATGTCTGGGAACAGCCATTCTCAAACTCCAGCACGAGGAGAATCATCTCCACGGCTTGTGAGAACTCATATTGCCGAAGCCCAGCCCCAGAGTTTCTGACTCACTCTGTCTGAGGTGGAGCCCATGAATCTTCGTCTTTAATAAGCTCTCAGGTGGTGCTGACACTGCCCGTTCAGGGACACAATTAGAGAACCACATCCCCTTTGCTGATTTAGAACAAAAATCCCCTCACCGGCAGCACCTTACCACCACCTGAGTTGAAACGCAATATAATTAGATTTTTTAAAAATAGGCCACTTAAGCAAATTTCCCAACCACTTTTAGCATTTTACAGACTGAGACAGCCATCACTTAATTATTTCTCCTCTAGAAGAAAAGACGCAAACCTTAGCGATGGAGGTTTTAAAGGGATATCATAGTTAATTAACGGTAGCATTAGATTCATGTTTCTGCTGTCTTGATAATTAAACACATTAGGACTTCTTGGTGTTTGCCAATATTTTTACGAAACAGTTGAGAAGCAAACCCATCTAGGTTTGTCTTTCATCAGCACAGGCCTGAACTAGCGAGCTGAGGTGAAGGCCAGCAGGTGGCACTCTGAGCCAGTTCCCGGCGGCCTGGCCCAGGGTGCCTGCTCTGCATCCTCCCACGGAGGTCCTCTCCACCGCTTGTCATGAAACACCCCGAGACACACGTCTTGGAAAATCGCAGTGTCAAGCTCAGCATCTTTGCCACATTTCAAACTAGGTAACTACCTTCTCTCCCAAAGGGAGTCTGTTTTATGTATTTGTGTCCTTTCTAGGTTACAGGTTTCCCAAAGGCAATGATCTTGCCTTCCCTTCATTCTACAGCGCTCTGAGCTGCACGATGACCTGTTACATGATTGCTGCTCATACAGAAACGTGCCTGTCTCACACAAACCCTCGCAATAAACGGAAGTTTTTATTTGACCTAAGAGTAAATTGCTCATTTACTTCTCCTTTACAATAGAAAAAGCCATTTTCCTGCCATCCCAAATTATAAGTCATTATCAAATCAACAACACCGCATTTTAGTCTGTCATTTTTACTGTCTGCAGTTTTTTTAACTACACACAACAAATACTTTGATATAATCTAAGATAATAAAATAGTTGAACAATTTTTTTTTTTTAGATTTACATTTGTATAGAAACAATATGTGGAACTCCTCACCTCAAAACTAAGGTGTCTAAAAACAGTGATTCATCAGCATTGCTTTCAATAATTGTTTGGTTAAAAGTTGCAGTTTCCATTTTCAACTGAAATGTGTCTCCGTGCAGTTTCCCTTAGGTCCAAACTTAAGGCCTTGGGGAGGTGGCCACAAAGAAAAGGACAGGACTCTCCTCTGTGTCCTTCCCTGTATGGAAGACAGTGACTGGAACAGGGCCGTCATAAAGCCAGGAAGAAAAGAAATCAATTGCACATCTCTAGATTTCAAGGGTCAAAGTCACAACACGTCTGCACACACGTTCCCTCTCTGTAGACGTGGCGTTCCAGCATGGTGGCACAGTGCCTGCTTGCACCCCAAATGCTCCTCTCCACACTAATCATGTCAGTTACCAAGGACAGGCTGTGGCCATTGTCCATAAGTTCTCCCTGAAGGCCAGTCATTTTGTCACATTTAAGTCTTGTCCCTTGTAGTGTCACTTGGGTGCTGTGTCTTGGTGTCCAATTAGGGTCTACCATCCCCTCAGAAATGCCTCATCCCACCCTCAAATCCCCAAAGTGCCTAAGAGTGAAGACCCCACGGAGACAGTGACTTTCAGTGAAAACCCTCCCCAAAGACCTGGGGACTCTAGCCTATATCATTCCGTTCATCTTAGTCCACTCGTAGATGTCCTGCTCGCACACTATGTCAGAGTTGATGAGGAGGTATCTGTCGCCCACACAGAAATGCTTCTGACAGGCGGCGCATTTGAAGCATTCCAGGTGGTACACCTTGTCTTTCACCCGCATCGTCATCTCGTAGGCTCGGATCCGCTTGTCACAGGATGCGCAGAGACCATCTTGGCCAAAAAGCCTGGGGAAAAAAGAAAGAACAGCTAAGAAGACAGTGGCAGAGACAATACTGGAAGAAAGGGCTTGAGGATGGGTTCCATAAACTAGGCTGAATTTCCAAGAAGTCAGGAAGCAAGGAGGAGCTGGGTCCAGACAGATGGTGGACTTGTAGAGTCTTTCCTAGAAGGGAGACGGCCCTCCAGGATGAGCCCAAGATCTGCGGCATTTGTGTCTGGCATAACTCGACCCTTTTCTGAGCTCTCTCCCTACCCACAGCAAGCATGCTCCACGCCTCTGGCGCCTCCTGGGTGGGAGAGACTCACAGCTGAAGTGCTTTAAGAGGTTAGGCATGTATTGCATATACCCACCCCCCAGGGGAGCTCGCATTTTAGAAGAGCAGCTGGAGGGAATAGACCAGGAATGCAAAAAAATGGGCATCTTTCTGAGGCTCCCAAACTCTTTGTGACAGCCACTAATTCCGCCCACGGGGAGGGGTGGTCTTGAATTCCTCCACAAGCTAGAAAGGCCATTTCCACACGACTGTTTGCTGGGACCCCAGTTTCTGGAGGACAGAGGGGGTTCAATAGAAAACATGCTGCAGTTACTCCTGCCTCAGAGAGCTGGAGACAAACAGCACCTCTCCACACTGAGTGAAGATCTTAATTCAAGGTCCTCACTGCCCCCGGGGATGACTCTCTGGGGAAACTTTTCTGACACTGAAATCAAGACTCTCTTAAGTCTCAGTTGATGAGCCACTTATTTCAAGCAATATTCAGTGTTGAGGTGCAAGATGCAACACAGTGGAGCCGAGTGCAGTGGTTCTCAAAGTGCGGTCCTGGGACCAGCAGCATTTGTATCACCTGGGAACTTGTTACAAATGCAGATTCTCAGGTCCCCTGATGGAGACACTGGGGGTGAGGCTCAGCAGTGTGTGTGTTAACGAGAATCACACTTCCAGGGGATTCTGATGCAGGCTGAAGTTTGAGAATCAGCTCAAAAGAGTGGAATAACACAAACATTGGAGTCAGAAGACCCAGATGCCATCCAGGACTAGCCCTGAGTACCTGAGTGACCTGGCGAGACCTCTGATTCCTCTGAGCTTGTGACACAGCCGTGATCAGCGCATCTACCTAGTTCGGCTGTTAGAAGGATCAAAGGGAGCCCGTCAAAGGACCAACATTCAAGGGCTAAGCCAACACTGATGGGTTTAACACATCTCGGGGGTGTTCCCAACTGCGCCAGTCTCCCTACAGGAAGTCCTTTTCTCACGTGGCTGATAACATGGCATATTCGCAGGTCCTTTCCACATAAGACCTTTAGGACAATTTTAGGTAAACGCTTGTTCCTCTTGGAAGTTCTTATTAGCTTCAGAAGAGAAGAGAATCAACTGGGACATTCTGAAGGGCTGTAGGGGAGAAAAGGGCAGTTGACAAATTTTGAAACATCTGGGCAAAATTAACGCCATCAAGGAGACGTAGTCTGTGGGTAAGAGCTCACAGTGAGAGCCGGGGCCAGCTACTTCCCTCTGAATCTCACTCTCCATTTGAAGATCTCTGATTGTTTTCAAGGCACCGCCTGGGATCAAATTCACGCCTGGGGAGAACATTTTATCCCAACATAGCAGATGGTGGAGCTGTGGGGAACTGCCACCTTGGAGGTCACAGCATAGAAAGACAGTTTTGCTTTCCTGACTGTTCAGTAAGTTGAGTGTGGGCCCGAGTGAGGATAAACGACTCACCAAACAGTGTGCGGGAATGAAGCCAACCGCCTGGGTGTTAAGGCAGGAGAGCGTTTATCAAAGGGAAGTTGGGGGTAAATTACAACACACATCAGGCAGCTAATAGAGGGAAGGACGAAGGACTAAGATTTGGGAGGCAAGTTCAGGTCCAGCATCACCTCTAGTGAGCCAGGTGCCTCAGAGCAAATGACATCCTGTCTCCCAGCTTCTGTGTCTTAAGCTATGACAAGGACGCTGGAACAGAAGACCCTCTGCAGCCCCTTCAGCTCCGAGATTCTGAGATCCGACTTCCAGTAAATAAACCAGGACTTGACGTCTACCTTGAGCATCCACCTCTGGCACCAAGAATCAGTGCCTTAGGCTGGACATCCGAGAAGCAGACACAGAGGTCAGACTTACTAGGGACGTGTCCTCAGCGGAAACTGGTAAGGTAGCAAGGAGGCGGGAGGAAGGCCAGCAAAGTTGCAATCCTAGGCAGAGTCCCTCAGAGGGAGCTCTGAGGTTAGGGCTTCGTCTCCCGGGCTCCCGGCCGAGTGGCAGGCTTCAGCGCCCCTGTGCCAGTCCCTGGTTAGGTCCGCTGGGGTCTGGGGGAGGGGGCGTGCTTCTAGCGCTAACAGAGCAGATGTTGGCTGCTGAAAGTAAAACCACTGTGCAGAGAGGGGTGCACAAAAAAATTGATAGAAAGGATCTGAGGGGCTGTGGACCGGGCACTGCTATGAACAGCTGCTGTTAGGTTCCCACAACACAACGCCACAGCTGCAGGGTTTATGCTCTGATGGGGGTCTCATGAATATTTGAGGCTAAATGTGTGGAAAGGCCTGTAACAGGCGAGTCAGCCACTGGAAATCCTCAAAAGTCATGGAATGGGGAGAAGGACTGAACCCCATCACAGGACCCATTCGGTCACCCCTCCAACTTGTCTTTATTAAAGATGCTGTGAGAGACGTTAAGAATGCAAGTAAACAGGTCTATAGCTACAAGACTATCCCTGAAGCAGAAAATGATTTTTCTCCTCTGTCAAGAGGTGTCACATCTTAAGCTTTCTCTTGCCCATTTTAATAACAATAATATAAATATTAAAGGATGGCTGGAAACGCCTGCACTAACACAGAGTTAATTAACATGTCGCCTAGGAATGTAGCACGGAGAGGAATTATTTCATGTCACCAAGACACAAGTTAATTAACAGTGGGTCCTCCCAGACTATTTTTTTCTCTCCTTTTTAAAAATGGAAAAGATTAACAAGCCCAGGCAGCACCGGGTTTATTCTTGGATGTTATATAAAACAGTGGAGCTAGGGAGCAGCCCGGCTCTTTGACCTTACTCGAGCTGCACTTCATTTAATAAGATTCAAATGATATGACAGGGACGGAGTCAGGGGCCCAGTGGGAATCATTTACCAGCTGCTTTTCGGCACTGACTTGGCAAACTGGTAGCCAGCAAAACCAGGTCTTTATTTATCCCAGTTCGATTTTCTTGTAACTTAATAAAAAATTGACCAAAATCATAATCACCATCATTGAAAACCCTACTTATTTTCTCTGAACCACCAAATTTGCAAGGACTTGATCAGGGAATTTAGGAAAAAAAAGCTTCTTCTATCAGTCTCTGGGTAAACAGATAAGCTTCCTTCACTGTAGAATTGCTTGCAGTTTTTTCTCTTTTTTTTCATGTAAAATGTTCTGAGGGCAGATTTGGGAGGAAGAGCTGGCCTGGCAGCCAAGGGCACTGAGTCTAAACAAGCTTCCCGGGGTTAGGTGGTCCTCATGTATCAGGGCTGCTCGCTCCACAGAGAGGCCGATGGCAGAGAACTGACAGCTGCACAGCTGAGCAGATCTGACAGCAGAAGGCACAGAGTTACCTCCACAGCAGCTAATACGAAACTGGAGATGCTAGAACATTCCAGGCAAAGGCACTCATTGAGCGCCAGAAAATTCACATGGCCCACAGTAGGAACATCAGAGCATCAGCGACGTCCCCAGCTCCTGTCTCCCTGGGGCTGCAGAGTCCTATTTTGCCCTCCCATCTCTTTGTTCATTAGACAGGAAAAGCCTCCACAATGACGTCACGAGGGCTGGTGACAGGAGCAGTGACATGCATCTGATACGCCTGCACCAAGCACCTCACAGATTCCCCCAGCTAATCCTCACCTCCTCCTTGGAAGTGGGTGCCATTATCATCCCCATTTTACAGGGGAGGGAATTGAGGTTCAGAAGGTGAAGTGACGCCCAAGGTCACAGAGCCAGAGGGCAGCGGTTCTGGGACTCAGACCTGTAGCCAGCTCCAGGGCCCTGGCCCCATGACAGTCAAATGCTCAGAGTGCCATAGTGAGAACGTGCTTTCTATTTTTAAATTTCTCATCGCATAGTACTGAGCTCAAGCAAAAGAATACTTACAACCTACATGTACGTTTGGAAGCATTAAGTGAGCGCCTAAGACTCTCAAACTTCTCATCGGCAGCACTCCCAGGTCCTCAGGCCGCCCGCGAATTACCCCCCAATGCTATCTGAAGCCTGCCCCCCAGGAGGGACCGCTATTCTAAATTTTGTGTTTATCATTCTCTTGCCTTCAAAATATTAGTATTTTACCACTTACGGATGTATCCCTGAGAACATGCTTCTCCCACAGGAAAAGATGCCAACTGCCCCTCTAGGGGCAGAGTGGGGGGTAGCTGAGACCCAGCCCTGCAGCTCTGGGGAGACAGACCCAGATGCAGAGGTCTGTGGCCGCTGACCCTCCTGCCCAGGGCCCCTGGGGGCAGGGAGGGTACCTGAGGTAGTCTCTCCGGCAGAGCTTCCGGCCCAGCTTGTAGTAGAGGCGCCGGCCCACCTCGCCCAGCCGGCACCCGCACAGGTCACAGCTCAGGCAGTCCTCGTGCCAGTACTGGTCGATGGCCTTCAGGAAGTAGCGGTCCCCGATGTTCTGCTGGCAGCCTCCGCATGTCAGCAGGGACGGGGGGATCTGCAGCACCTCGTCCACTGGCTCCCTGGAAAGGAGGCCAGGCATTAGGGACAACCTCATCTCGGTGAGACAGCACGGGCTCAGCAATCACTCTGGGCCATCAGGAAGCCTCTCTCAACTACCTGTCAGTGACGTAAGGAGAAAGAACTGGACAACATACCCCGAGGCCAGATCGCAGAGAGGCCCAGCAGCCTTGGGCTAGGACAGGAGAGAGCCAGACCTTACACCTGAGATCCTGTAAGAAGTAAGTGTGGGGCACCAAGGGACAGCCATGGCAACCACAGGGGGACCGCACACCTGCCACAGCCCAGCACCCTTCCCTGCACCTGTGGTCTGCCTTCTCCTTCCCCACTCGCCCCTCCTCCTCTCCTTCTCTATCTCCAAATTTCTCCTCCTTCTTCCTCCCCTGTACCCAGGGCCCAAGGGCGCTGCTGATCCCAGAGGAGGCGCTTGGGACTAAGAGTTGTTTGCTACCTGGACAGCTGACCACCTAGAGGGCTAAAAGTCTGCAAATTCCCTGTTGAATCCACGCTCCATCCTACCCAAGCCCTCCCAACTACACAAAAGCAGAGGTGAGAAAGAAAGAAGAAAGCAGCCCCAAATTATTTTAGGTTGCTTTCTCTTCCCAAAATAAAAATTCCATCAGAATATAATAGGAATCCTCATTACTTTATGTTTTTTACAGAAATTCCGCATCCCATCCTTGTTACCGAACGAATCCTTGGAGAAATATCCCAGGTGTTAAGGCCACTGGTAAACTTATAAAGGACATCAAATAGACCTTTCTGCACGTGAACATTTTTGCAACAGCAAAACTGATCTGGATAAAGTTGGTTTAGGAAAGAAAATGAGGAAGAAGCAATGATTATTTTCACGGAGTGGAAGGCCAGTAAACAGACTCTGCAATCCCATCCGGGTAATTGTTAATTGTGAGCCCATGATACGTGTTCTTGCATTAAAAAGTCAAACAGCACCTCCAGTTCACTTGGCTTAACTGGAATCTGAATACTCTGAAAATTTATTTTAAAACACATTTTAAAATAAATAACTTCATTTGCCAAAAGAAAATAAAGGGAGTGGGAGGAATGATTCCGGCATCAAATGAGGCACAGGCAAAACCTAATACTTGTTGATTTGTAACAATTAACAAGTGCTCTTTTGAACCTTACTCAAACACAAATCTATTTTTTTTTTACATCTATTATGTTTTTAAAAATGGACCTGCTTCCAACTGTGAAATTCCCAAAGGGAGTCCAACCCCCCCACCCCCACCCCAGCTGGTGCCTTGAGGGTATAAATCTGTGTCTCCTTTTTCTAGATGACACTAACTCACCAAGTGACCAGGTGTCCTGACTGGCCTGTGCCCACAGAGCTCAGCACCCATGACACTCAGGGATGACGAGGCTCAGGTACCACTGTTGATAACACATCTGTCTGTAAAGTACACACCTCCCTATGGATATTGAGGGACACTAAAACCAAGCCCACATTTTGTAGATCAAGAATAAGGGTCCTTCATGAGATTACCTCCTTTTAGAACAAGGAAATGTGCAACCCAAGCCAATTTTCTTTTAAAAACTCAAGACTTCAAATAGTTTTAAGAATTCACTGAAGCCTGACTCGCTTCTCTTTGTTTCCACGGGTTATACATAAGGACTTCCATTCTCCCTTCTGAAAAATAATATACCCAGCATTTTCAAGTTCATCGACTCAGAGTGCATCTCTTCTCTTTCCACAGCCCATGGTCTTACTTCGGACTTTTGAACACACTCACGGAACCTCAACACCGCTGGATACCCTGATGCTGACGCTGCCAACCAACCGTGAAAGAGGAGAATTTTGCACTTAGCTGGTGCAGAACTGCCTGGAACTAAAATGAACTGCTCTTCCTACTCACGGGGAGGTGGTAAGGGCCACCGATTGCCCTTGGGAGAGGAAAGCTCCACATCCATGAATTCTGGCTGTCTTTCTGTCTAAATGTTTCATTTGCATATGCCTAGGCAAGTTTCTATCTGTAATTTGGAGATGCTGATGGGACTGACCCAAGTTGGCTTTTCATAAGTTCGCAATGAAGCATCTGGTAGGATAGTGGTCCGCAGTAGAAATGTTAGCAAAAGAGCTATTGTGATGGCCTGAGATAAGACAGGAAAGGCCAGGATAAGATATTGGTTCTATCTATCTTTTTATAATTAATGATAATATCACATTATCTTTGGTGGATGTTCCCAGCCAATAACTGAGTGGGATTCACCCTCAAATTAATATTTTATCCTCTCCTAGAGCCCATCTGAATATCACACCTGAATGTACTTCAGCCCGGATTTCTGGGATGACTTCTCAACAATTTTCAAGGAATACAGGGAAAAAAAAATGTGCTGCAGTAATTTCTCAACTAGCCAGTCCATCTTCAATTAGAGCCTGTCTTCTCTGGGCAGACAGTGAAGTGAAGGACGGAGTGGAGGAGCATGGTTCGGTAGGTGCCTGCTGTGTTATGTGGTTAGGATATTTCAATTTTCTAATTTCAGTGAAAAGGCACAACTTTGAAAAGAGCAAACTTCCTTCAGGGAACCAAAACCTCCAGATTTATCTTCTAATAAAAGGATTAGTGACTAAGTTCTGCTGATCAAAAAGGCATTAGGCACCTTGCAAAGGCAATTCATCCAATTCACTTTCTTATTGTATTACTATGGTCTGGCCCAGGCTCTGAAAACCCACAGCTAAGTTGTAATTCTAGGTTTGTAAAAAAACAAGTGAGCAAAACACCCTTTAAACCCAGTGTTTGCACAGATACGTACTTTTTAAAAGGAGTGTTATTTTTCTCCTGAGAATTTAAGGAAGCTGGTTTTTACTAGAACAAACCCAGCTCCTTATAGGACTGGTGTCTGAACCTTCAAGATTGAACAGTGATGTTTATATTCTCACTGGATCGTGGGACTTCCTGTGTTTTATGAGAACATGCTGAGCTTTTATGCTGGAAACTGAGGGTGAAACCCAGGTATATAAACACAACAGAAGGCTGAAATTGGGGGGAGGGAGGACTTCAATCAGGAAAGCACAATTCTTTTAAAGCAGGAAAAGAAAAGAAAACAAATGGCTCTTAAAAGCACAAATGGACAAGTCATTAACCAGCTCCTTTGGTCTGTGTAACAAATCCCTTCAAAGGATTAGATGGGGACTTCAAAGGAATAAAAATTTTCAAAACCAGACAGCTAATGAATCTTAAAAGGGCATTTGCGCTGATGGGGAAAATGACATCTTAAACAACCCTTTCTCCCCACGTTAACACGAAGGAGGAGTTGGAGGTACAGGGTGGGAATAGGGGACACTTTAAACCCGTAAGAGGCTCAGAAAATAAAGGCGGCCCATGCTCATTAGAGCGCTGGTTCCAACACCTTCTGAGGCTGTGATAAAAGCTAGGAGACTCTGCTCCCCAGAAAAATTCACCTACACGCGAAATGGTGTAGTAACTTTGGAGGTTCACAGGCCCCCATCGGCGGGCCTCGAGGGGAGGGGTACGTGTATCCAGATGAACCCCGAATTTATCTGCTCTAAGGCTCCGGAGGCCAGAGCGGGCTCCGAGGTGGACGCTGGCACCCCTCACCCGCCCGTCCCTGGCGCTGCTGGCGGCCGCTCCACCTGCGGTCTGGCAAGGGCGCCGTCGGGGACTCGAGAGACATCCACTTGCAACGTCCCCCTTTCCAGGACCAAATGGACAAAGAGAAAGGAGACCGAGAGGGGAAGGGAGGGCAGCACGAAGCCAGGAACGCTCTCGGGACTGCACCTGCGCCCCTCCGCGCTCCCCTGTGCCGGCTCCCGGGTAAACTTTCTGGCCCGCGGTGGCCTCGGGGAGCGTCCCAGGTCCCGGGAGGGGCCCGCAGAGGCGCCGGGCCGACCCCCTCGCCCTGCCGCCCGCAGCCCC